ACGCCGTCCCAGTTCTCCTCCGTCGGGCCGCCGTCCATGAAGGAGTTTTGAGCGGCGCGCGCCGGCCGCGTAAGCACGTGCGAGAGCCGCGCGGGGGACTTCGACACTGAGAGAAGTCGCGTTACTACCACGCGCGCCGCGGCAGCTCGCCGAAGCCGCGCGCGTCCGCGGCCTCGCGCGCCTCCGCGTCGATCTTGCCGTAAAAATTGAGCTCGACGATGCGCTCCGCGGCACTCTCAAGATCGCCGGCGCCCAGCGCCTCCCGCAGCGCGGCCGTCGCCGCGGCGACGTCGCCGTCGTTCGCGGCGACGACCGCCGCGAGGTCCTCGAGGCTCGCCGCGTCGTCGACGGCCTCGCGCGCCTCCATGACGGCCAGGAGCAGCGCGCCCGGCGCCTGGCGCGTCTCGTCGTCGAGGACGAGGTCGCCGGTAGCCAGGGACCGCGCGTAGTCCGCGCGGCGCAGCGGATCGCGCAAGACCGCGAGCGCGTCGTTGACGCGCGCGCTCGCCGCGTCCGCGAGGAGCTTCTGCGCCTCGGGCGCGCTCGCGAAGCGGTCCGGGTGGAGCCGGTGCTGCAGCTGCCGCAGGCCCGCGTCGAGCGCCGCGCCGTCGACGTCGAAGTGCGCCGCGACGCCGAAGAGCGCAAAGTGGTCCACGTGGTGCGGCTCCGCGGCCAGCGCGCCGTCGGCGCCGAAGAAGTGGTCGCCGAGCGCCGCGAACCGGCGCGCGCCGGTGCGTGCGTATGCGCGCGCGCAGCGCGGCGCGAGCTGCGACGCGAGGGCGCGCATCGTCGCGTGTTGATTTTATTATGAGTTCACCCACCCCGCGCTGAACTCATTGAAGAGGCTGCCGCTCTGCCAGAGAGGCGATGGGCAGGCTCCGGCTGGCCCTCGCGGCCCTGGCGAGCGCCCGTGCCATGGACATGACGCCGTCCTACGCGGGCACGGCGCCGTGCACCGCCGCGCCCGACGCGATGCTCGAGGACGTGCGCGGCCTCTCGGGCCCGCGCCGCGTCTGCGAGCCGTCGTCCGCCTGCTCGGTGCACCTCGTCGGCTTCTATTACGCCGATTGACTGGGGTGCCGGACGCGCGCGGCGAAGCTCGTCCGCCTCGCGTCCACGGTCGCCGGCGCCTGCGTCGTGGTGCTGAATAACAGGATGCCCATGGCCTGCCTGATGAACGCGTCCGCGCCCTGCGACACGAGCTACGGCGGCTGGCAGGCGCCCATGGTCGCCGCCGTCGCCAACGGTTCGGCGACGCCCGTGCTCCAGGACGACGGCGCCGCCTGGTCCGCCATCGGGGCCGGCCACGACGACGTCGTACTCTACGACGACGCGTGCCGCGCGTTCGCCGCTGCGAAAAAAAACGTCGCGGACGTCGAGGACGACGCGGGCTTCCGAGCCGTCGCGGTCCTCGCGGGCGCCGCGGCGAGCGCCGCCGGCGGCGCCGGCGTCTGCCGCGAGACGTCGTGCTTCGCTTCGTCGGCGGCGGCGGCGGCGCCCGCGGGCGCCGCGGGACGGAGGCTACTGCTCTTCGCGATCTTCCTGTCGTCGTTCCTGACGGGCGGCCTCGTCGTGCGCTTCTACGTGTCCCGCGCGTCCGCGTCCCCGGCGTCGAGCGACCCCGTCTTCAGCCCGCTGGGCTTCGGGGCGCAGATGGTCCGCCGGCGGCCGCGGTCGCGGTCCGGGTCCGACGACGACGACGACGACGACGACTTCGACGACATCGCCCTCTAGCGCGCGGCGGCGGACGTCCCATGACGCGGCCGGCAAGGACCGTGCCCGCCGCCGACCCCCGGTCCGCCGCCGCCGTTAGTAGCCGAACCTACTCAGGGGGTCCCGGCCGCCGGACATGCGGCCGGGCCGCGCGACCGTGGAGCGCGCCGTCATGACCTCGTCGTCCGACGAGTCCGCGGGCGAGTTCGTCGGCTGGCTCATGGGCACGGGCGTGACCGTGCGCATCTGGCCGGAGACGATCGAGTCCACGTTCGGGTACTTTTTGAAGCCGAGCGCGCGCGCGACGGTGTCGCTGTTGCAGACGACGAGGCGCCCCTCGTCCGTCGGCCGGAGCGCGATGGTGCCGTCGCCCAGGTCCGTCGGGATGGCGTAGACCGACACCGTGTCGCCGAGCTTCAACACGCGCTCCTTCGCGAGGCGCGGGATCGGGATCGGCGCGTGGAGCATGGACCGGAGCATGGACTGCTCGCCCTTGCGCGACGACGAGCAGTGGCGCTCCCAGAACATGATGGCGTTGGGCCGCACCGTCAGGCCCTCCCACTTGCGGTCGGTCGCGTGCGACCGGATCTCGCGCGTCTTCTTGTCCATGACGATGTACTGCTCCGAGTGCGTCTCCCGGAGCTTGAAGGTCACCTTCGACATGTCCGCGTCGAGCAGGTAGCGCACGGGCTCCGTCGGCGGCACCGTGCCCTTCTCCGCGCTGTGGCCCTGGACCTCGAAGCGGAACGCCTCCGTGCCCGTGAAGAGGTACTCCATCTGGCCCTTGAGCGGGAAGCCGTCGTTCTTGTACACGGAGACCTGGCAGGCGACGCCGCAGTCGCCCCCGAAGGGGCTCCGGAGCAGGCTCTCGCCCGCGACCTTGGTCACGGTCCCGACGATGTGGATGGGCTTGACGACGCCCTCCTCGTCGACCTCCTTCTTGTACTTCTCCGTGTGCAGGCCGGGGATGTGCGTTTCGCTCATGTGGAGCGCCGAGGCCATGCCGCTGAACGAGCTGCCGCCGTTCCCCATGGTCCGCACCACTCACCCGGGGCCTAGCTCTCCACCATCATCTTTCGCGTTGTCCCGGCTCTCTGCGCGAATGCATCGACGTTGAAGCCGGGAGCCCTGCAGCATCGGCCTCTCCGGCCGGGGGTCCCCGCGCGCTCCCTCGCGCCCGCGCTGCCCGACGCGACCCGCGCGCCCGCAGCGGAGGGACGCGATCGGCCTCTTTTACCGTTCGGGTCGAGAGAGCGCGGGGGCAGACAGAGTGACGCGGGTCGTCGGCGTGGGGCCCGTCCAACGGGCGCACGGAAAACGAGCACGAGGGGGGGGGGACGAAGCGGTGTGGAGGCGGGTGGCGCGCGGTTGGCCGTCAGACGCCCGCGACCCAGTGCGGGTGGTGGGAGTAGAGGTCGCCGCGTGGTCGCGCGGAGGGCTTCGGTTTGTAGCCGACGCCGCGGCAGATGGACTCGGGCAGGATGAGCGTGCCGCGCTGGGCGCTCTTGCAGATGGGCCGCGTCCGGAGGTGCGCGGGCTGGCTCGTCGGCGCCAGCGACCGCAGCTTCTCGCGCGTGTTCGGCCGGTCCGTGGCGAGGCCCGTCGCCCACGAGGGCCCCGTCCGCTGGGTCTGGGGCGTGAGGACGGGGGAGATGGTCGAATCGTAGACCTGCGCGGCACGCCGTGCGCGCTGCAACGAAGCGAAAAGCGAGGGACGCGGGCGCCGACGGCGGCGAATTCGGGGAAGACGGCCTTGCCGGGGCTGCTCGGCGCCGTGAAGGGCCGGCTGCTCGAGTGGAACGTGGCCACGGGGTTGCTCGGGCTCGACATCTTCAGGTAGGGGCCGTAGTAGCCCTGCCCCTTCGGCATGGCCCGCGACCGGGGCCGAGCCGAGGAGACGCTCTCTCCGCACGGCCACCGAGCTATCGTATATCAATCTGAAACCAAAAAGGCACATACGACTGCCTTGCAGCGAAGGTGCAGTTTCAGCCGAGAAGCATAAATCGCGCGATGCCGCCGTGGGTGCCCGACGTGCCCGAGCGGAAGCCCCTGCTGCATGGGAACGACGGCTCGAGCCTCTTCTCCGGCGACCTCTTCGCCGATGGCCTCGGCGTCAGCGCCGTCGGCGGGGCCCCGATCCTCTGCGACGTGTCCTGCGGCTGGCGCCGGGGCTGCCTCAGCGCCATCATGGGGGGCAGCGGCGTGGGCAAGACGACGCTCCTCTCCGTGCTCGTCGGCGACCTCGACGAGTCGTGCGTGCGGGGCTTCGCGGGCCTCGGCGGCGGCGCGCTGTCCGCGGCCGCGCGGCGGTCGTGCGCCGCGCTGGTACCGCAGGACGACGTCATGCTGACGACGCTGACGCCGCGGCAGATCCTGACGTACGCGGCCGCGCTGCGCGGCGTGGGCCCCCGGCGCGTCGAGGCGCTGCTGTCGGACCTCGGGCTGCGGAGCTGCGCGGACACGGTCGTCGGCGACTACGGCGCGGAGGGCGGCGTCTCCGGCGGCGAGCGGAAGCGGTGCTCCATCGGCATGGAGCTCATCGACGAGGACGCGGCGCAGATCTTGGCCGCCGACGAGCCGACGTCCGGCCTCGACAGCTCCCTGGCCGAGTCCGTCGTCGAGACGCTCGCGCGGACCGCGCGCGGGTCTTTAGCAAAGCTCGAGAAGGACCTCGAGGGCGGCGGCACGGGATCGCGCGCGCGGCGCGTCGTGCTCTGCACGATCCACCAGCCGTCCTGGCGCGTGCTGAAGCGCTTCGACTCGCTGACGCTGCTCGCCGGGCGGCCGGGCCGCGTCGCGTACCACGGCCGCGTCGACGCCGCGGAGCGCTACTTCTTCGCGCCGCGGCTCGCCGAGCCCGCGGCGTCGTCCGCGGCCGACGCGTCCTTCTCCGTCGTCGCGCTGGGCCGCCTGGGCTGGGCCATGGACGATCCGCGGTCGAACCCCATCGACGAGATCTCGCGGCGCCTGCGGGACGCGGCGGGCGCGAAGGAAGCCGTGGACGCGTGGGCCCGGGGCACGAGCAAGGCAGCGGGCGGGCCCGAGGCCGTGGAGACGTCGAGCGCGGGCCACCACGAGCACGCCTACGGCACGTCGCTCCTCACGCAGACGCGCGTGCTCTTCCGGCGGACCATGGCCGACTTCTCCAGGAACAAGGCGCGGCAGCGGTCGACGCTCACGCGGCCGCTCCTGGCCATAATCGCCGGCGGCCTCTTCTGGCGGCGGGGGCACCGCATGACGGACAGCGACGTCCAGACGGTCTGCGGCTGCCTCGCCCTCGTCATGATCCAGACGAACATCCAGATCATGGGCGCGACGTGCCTCCAGATCCCCAAGCTCAAGGCCCTCGTGAAGCGCGAGCACGGCAACGGCCTCTACGGCGTCTTCCCCTGGTTCCTGGCCTTCGTGTCGTCGACGGCTCTCGTGGAGCTCTGCGTCACCTCAGCCTACGTGCTCATCCTCTACCCCATGGTCGCGCTGCGGCCCCAGCCGCCGCGGGTCGCCATCTTCGCGCTGACCGTCTACGGCGTCATCCTCTCGGGCGCGTTCCTCGGCACGCTCGTCGGCAGCTTCTGCGACACGCTCGAGAAGGCGCGGGAGGCCTACCTGCCGGTCTGCATGTTCCAGCTCTGCCTCTGCGGCTACTTTTTGCCGTTGGACTCCATCCCGGACGGCTTCAAGCCCTTCTACTACGCGAACCCGTTGCAGTACGCGTACTCGATCCTGGCCATCAACGAGTTCCACGGCGTGTCCTTCGCCGACTCGAGCGACTGCGACGAGTACGAGCGGCGCCTCACGAACTACACGCGGACCTACGGCGACGACGCGGCCATCGACTGCTTCGCGACGGGCGACGACTTCCTGAGCAGCGTCGACCTGCACGAGGACCAGCTCGACCGCGACGGGCTGTGCTTCGCCGCGCTCTTCGTCGCGATCGTCTGCGGCGCCTACGTGGCGCTGCACCACAACGTGTCGCGGCGCGTGAAGCCGGAGAAGCCCCGGCCCTTCCCCTGGGCGCGCGTCGCGATCGGCGCGGCGCGCGCGGCCGCGGGGACGACCGTCGCGCCCGTCGACGCCAAGGACGCGCCGGCCGCCGTCGCGGACGCGGCGCCGGCGCCGGACCTGAGCGCCGCGGGCCTCGTCGTCGCCGTGGGCCCGCCCGCGGCGGAGAAGGTCATCCTCCAGTCGGTGTCGGCGACGTGGCGCGCGGCCGAGTGCGGCGCGGTCATGGGCGGCTCGGGCGCGGGCAAGTCGACGCTGCTCCACACGCTCATCGGCGACGTCGGCGCGTCGGCCGGGCGGCGCGTGGCGTCGGGCCGCGTGCTCCTGGGCCGCGTGTCCGCCGCGCCCGTCGCGCGGCGCGGCGGCAGCCGCCTCGTGCCCCAGGACGACGTCATGCTGACGACGCTGACGCCGCGGCAGATTTTAGCGTTCACGGCGCTGCTCCGCGGCGTCCGGGGCCGCGACGCCGAGGCCGCGGTCGACGAGATCCTGGAGCTGCTGGGCCTGAAGACGTGCGCGGACACGAAGATCGGGTGCGCGACGTGCCGCGGCGTCTCCGGCGGCGAGCGGAAGCGCTGCTCCATCGGCATGGAGCTCATCGGCCACCACTCCGGCGGCTTCGGCGTGCTGGCCGCCGACGAGCCGACGACGGGGCTCGACAGCACGCGCGCCGAGGAGGTGTCGGCGATGCTCCGCAAGGTGTCCCGCAGGACGAAGATCGTCGTCCTCGCGACGATCCACCAGCCGTCCATGCGCACGCTCGAGCGCAGCTTCGACACGGTGACGCTCCTCCACGGCGGGCGCGTCGCGTACCACGGCCGCGTCGACGCGGTCGTCGCGTATTTCGCCGCGCACCTCGCCTGGCGGCCGGACGAGAAGGAGAACCCGCTGGACTTCTTCATGAACAAGCTCCGCGAGGACGCCGACGGCGCCGCGGCCAAGTGGCGCGCCAAGGGCGACGTCCTCGTCGAGGCCGCGGAGCTGGAACGGGCGTGCGCGTCCCCGGAAGTCGCCGCGGCGGACCAGACCTACGGCGTCGGCTACGGCCGCCAGTTCGGTTTTCTCTTGGCGCGCTGCGCCGTCGACTTCGTGTCGAACCCGGGCGAGGCCTGCACGTTCCTGGGCACGCGCTTGGTCATCGGCGTTATCTTCGGATTGCTCTGGTGGGACGTCGGCTCGGAGCCCGTCGAGTCCGACGACATCTCGACGATCAACGCCCTCTTCTTCAACACCATCGGCCTGGCCATGTGCAACGCGCTCATCCAGACGATCCTCTACGTGCCGGGCATCAAGAGCGTGCTCAGGCGCGAGGCGCGGAACGGCCTCTACGCGCTGTTCCCGTGGTACGCGGCGAACGCGTGCTTCCTCGCGGCGATCCACGCGGCGTCGGCCGTGCTTCTGGTCGTGCCCATCTACTACCTGGCGGACCTGGGGGACTCGTCGTCGCCGGGCTTCCTGTCGAAATTCTACGGCGCCGTCGCGTCGTCGGTGCTGCTGGGCCTCTTCCTCGGGCTGCTCCTCGCGGGGCTCCACGAGTCCGCGGACTTCGAGCCGAGCCGCCAGAAGGCCATCGCCATCTTCATGCTCCTCTTCACGTTCTGCGGCCTGCTCATCCCCTACAACGAGATGAAGGCCTGGGCCAAGTACTGCTACGACGTCGACCCGCTCCAGAGCACGTACTCCGCGCTCCTCATCGCCTACTACGAGGGCTGCTACTTCGGCGAGGAGGTCTGGGACGGCACGGGGCGCTACCCCGTCTCCTGCCCGTCGGACCTCGTCGACTCGGGCACGTGCTTCAACACGGGCGCGCAGTACCTCGACAACCTCCACCTCGGCGACGACACCTACGACGGCGAGCTCGGCGTGTCCTTCATCTCCCAGGCCGTCTTCGCCGTGTTGGCGATTGTCGCGTTTTCCCGCGCGACCTTCGACGCGCAGTAAGTGGGTTTGAGTGAGCGCGGCACTGCACTTTCCCCTATCTTGTACTTCAACGTTGTTCGAAGTCCAAACTAGGTGACTTCCACGCGGGCTGCCGCATCTATGGAGTGGCTGTCGCGTTTCTTCGGTCCAAGCACTCCCGCCGCAACGATGAGCAAGAAGGTGGTCATCCTGACGACGAGCGCCGACACCTTCCAGGGCCACGCGTCGGGCGCGTGGATGGAGGAGGTGACGGGGCCCTACTACACCTTCACGGGCAAGGGCTGCGAGGTGACCATCGCGAGCATCAAGGGAGGCAAGGTGCCCATCGACGCCTTCTCCCTGGGCGAGGGCTTCAAGACCGAGAACGACACGAAGTTCGAGACCACGGGCGACATCAAGATCCTGGAGAGCAGCGTCGCCGTCTCCGCGCTCTCGCCCGACGGCTTCGACTGCATCTTCCTCGCGGGGGGGCACGGCACGGTGGTCGACTTCCCCGACGGCGCCGCCGACATCGTCTCCAAGGCCGCCGCCGCCAACAAGGTCGTCGGCGCCGTGTGCCACGGGCCGACGGGCCTGCTCAAGGCGACGGTTGACGGCAAGCCGCTCGTCGCCGGCAAGAAGGTCTGCGGCTTCTCGAACGAGGAGGAGGCGGCGGTCATCGGGATGCGCAATTTCGAGGAGAAGATCCTCTCGCTCGAAGACGAGCTCCAGGCGGCGGGCGGCGAATATATGCCGGGCGCCATGTTCGCGCCGAACGCGGTCCGCGACGGCAACCTGATCACGGGCCAGAACCCGGGATCGAGCGTCAAGGCGGCCGAGCTCTGCTGCGAGGCGCTGGGGCTGTGAGGCGCGGGCCCGGTCGAGGTCGCTCGTGGCAGCCTGCCCTTGTTGACCCCCCAGATAGAAAGACGGAACTTTTGTATGTAATAACCTAGTCCCGCTTAAGCCGCCGCGCCGCGAGCCACGCGGGGACCGCGACGCAGACCGCCGGCCCGCCGAAGTAGACGAGCGCGAGCGCGACGCCCGCGGCGCGGACGAGCGCGTCGGGCATGTCCGGCCGCTCGTAGATGGTCCAGGAGATGAGCTGGTGGAAGAACTCGGAGAACCCCTCCTCGCACGTCGGCCCCGCCGGGAGCTTTCGGGCGAACGCGGCCCAGGAGAGGGCCGGCGCGTCGAGGCGCCGCCACGTGATGACGCACGTCGCGCGGGAGCCGCGGTCGCGGTCGACGTAGGTGAGCATCTGCCCGAAGTGCTGGGGCACGGTGCGGCTGACGATGACGCCGTCGAAGTCGGCCGTCTCGTCGAGCGTCAGTGGGAAGCGCTTGCGCACGTTCCAGCCCAGCGTGAACGCGTCGTCGCCGACGCGGAACTCCCAGGCGCGGCACCGCGCCTTCGGCCGCCGGTCGTACCAGCGGCCGCCGACGTCCTCGAGGTCCGACTCGGCCAGGCAGACGAGGTCGAGCGCGTCGTCCGCGTTTATCTTCGCGTAGAAGTCGTCGAACATGGCCGGCGCGTCCGCGAAGCCGAAGTCGCGCACGTCGAGCGCGCGCCAGGCCTGGGCAGCAAAAGGGTGATTCAACGTCGCTTCAACATGAGTGTTCCGCGCGCTCGCGTTCCGGAAAAGCATCCACGCTTCGAGGCCGTTCCAAGAGATGATCGATCGTCCAAGAATCAGCCGAAACGAGTGGAAAACGGCCGAGATAGGAGCCTTTGAAGTTGGGAATTTCGCACCCTTTTCCTGCCCCGCGCCAGGCCTGGAAGACCGACGACGGCGCGTAGCGGCCGTCCAGGACGCGGGTCACGTCGCCGGCGACCCAGAGGAGCTTGTAGAAGGCCGTCATGTGGCTGTGCACCTTGTTGCGCACGAGCCGCCCGTTGAAGGGGATCTTCACGTTGGACCAGGCCATGCTGTCGTAGTCGATGGGCGCGGGGAACGTGCGGACGAACGTCTGCTGGTTGTTGCGGTCCGTGCGGCCCGGGACGCCCGTGATGAAGCTCGACAGGACCTGCGGCGCGTCCGCGAAGTCGCGCCCGTGGCGCCAGCGGATGCCCGTCTGGAAGTACCACTCGAGCGGCGGCGACCCGCGCGCGCGGACGTCGTTGATCTCGCCCTCGAGGTCGACGGGCTCGCCCGCGAACTTGGCGGAGCCCAGGGGCCAGGTCTCGTGCAGGCACGCGACGCCGCCGCGGTCGCTCCGGCACTCGTAGTCGCCGTGCCTGCCGGGGACGGACGCCTTCCGGAAGCGCGCGCGCCGGACGCCGGAACGCGCCACTCGAAGAACCAGGACGCGTTGTAGCAGGGCTTCGACGCGCCCAGGCCGCAGTAGTACTCGCCGAGCCGCGGCCGCACGCCCGGCGCGAAGGCGAGGTGGACGTGGTGGACGTGGATCGGCGGGTAGCCGAGGACGGCGCCGGCGCCGTCGGTGACGACGATGGAGTTGGCCTCGATGTAGACGCCGCCGCCTTTTAGCTTGTCCGTCAGCGCGAGCGCGTCGGCCCAGCCGAGCTGCCACCAGTCGTAGCCGCCCGACGAGTAGAAGGGGCCCACGCGCTCGCTCGCCCAGGTCCCGCCGCCGTCGACGTCCTCCACCTCGCAGGTCCCGAACGCGATCGTCACGTCCTCGTTCGGGTCGCCGGCGGTCAGCGGGACGCCGCGGCGCAGGCGGTTGCCCCAGGAGTACTGGTCCTCGTTCTCCGGGAGCAGGTCGTGGTTCCGGAAGCCCTGGAAGTCGGACGTCGTCTCGTAGTAGTTGGCCGTGGCCAGGCGCTTCGCCGTCGCGAACGGCACGGCCGTCTCCGCGAACTGGCGCTGGCACTCGTCGTTCAGGCGATGCATCTCCGCCTCGGAGGCGTGGGGCTCGCCGCCGTTGCCGTAGGCCACGCCGGGCACGACGCCGTGCATGTCGCCGTAGATGGCATCGTCCAGCGACGGCGTCACCATGCGATCGATGGGCGCCGGCAGCGGCCGCGGCGCGGCGGCCACGCACGCGAAGACGACGGCCGCGCGGGCCATCACGCGGCTGAGCACGCGGGCTGCTACGGCGGGCTATCGGCGGGCTGCCCCATGCCAGGCTTGGCCTCGATTTGTTCAACAATCGAGATTCTTGCAGCTCACTTAAAATTGCGCGAGACGATAGACGCAGCCTTTTTGTGTTCTCGAATCCGTGCCAGCCTCGCATGGACGGCGATGTGAAGCACCGCGCGACGCGCGCGACGCGTGCGACGCGCCCACAGCAACAACAGCCTTTGCAGCAGCGACTCGCGGCCGCCAGCCCTTCGCGCCGCCAGCTTTGCGTTCGCATGAATCCTGCGCGCGCCAGCGAGCCCGACCTTGAAAGCGCAATCATCTAGACGACCGCGCGCTGAGCCATGTCCACGCAGCGCTGAGCCCATTGACCGCCGCTGCCGCCCGAGCCGGGCGGCGGCGCGCGGCGCGGCCGCCGGCCCGATCGTCTCGACGAGCAGCCCGCATCACTCTTTGACCCTCCCTGGCTTCTGCCGGCGCCGCTGCTCGGCGGCTCCGCGGACGCGGCGCTCCTGCGCGCGCCGCCGCTGTCGTCAGACCGCTCGGCCGCCGGCGTCGCCTTCCACGGCGACACCGCGTCCGCGCTCGCGCACTGGTTCTGCCCCGAGGCGCGCGCGTGGCTGCGCCGCTCCGAGTAGGGCTGGGCCGGCTGGCGCGACGCCTGGGACCCCTGCGGCCTCGGCGCCTGGCGGCCCTTCGACCAGGTCCTGGACGCGTCCGAGGCGCCGTTCTATCGCTGGTTCGCGGGCGGCTTCCTGAACGCGTGCTTCGACGCCCTCGACCGCCACGTCGGCGACGGTTTCGGCGCGCGGCCCGCCGTGATCGACGACGGCGAGGACTGGGTCCGCGGCGCGCCCGCCGCGAGCCGCGGCGCGGCCTACCGCGCCGTCGTCGAGGACGCGGCCGCGGCTGCGGCGGCGCTCGCGCGGCTCGGCCTCGACCCGCTGCGCATCCTCATGCTCTCGAACACGCACCTCGAGCTCTTCGTCTGGACCCTCGCGGGCGCGCGCCTCGGCGCCGTCTACTCGGCGTGCGCGCCGGGCCTCGCGCCGCGGAGCGTCGCGGCTCGCGTCGCGGACCTCGCGCCGACGCTCGTGCTCTGCGACGGCCTCGAGCGGCCCCGGGCGGTCGCCGCCGTCGACCTCCTGGACGCGACGCCCCTGGTCCTCGCGTTTTCGACGGATCTCGACGCGCGGCGCGGCGCGCGCGGCCGACCGGATCTCGCCGCGCGGCGGAAGCGGCGGCCGCGCGCGTCGGCCCGATCGCGCCTCGCGAAGCTGCTTCGACCGGTCCCCGTCGAGGCCAATGTTCCTCTTTTTGTTTTGTACACGTCGGGTTCCACGGGCCGACCGAAGGGCGTCGTCCACTGCCACGGCTACGTCTCCGGAGTATTACTCACGCTCCAGGGCAACTTCGACGCCGCGCCCGGCGTCGACGTCGTCATGGTCGCCGCGACGCCGGGCTGGATCACGGGCCAGTCCTACATGATTTACGGCGCCTTATCCATGGGCCTCACGAGCGTCATCACGAACTCGTCCCCGCTGAGCCCCTTCGCGACGCGCTTCGCCGCGGTGCTCGAGCGCTACGCCGTCTCCGTCTTCAAGGCCGGCGTCGCCTTCGTCAAGACCTTCGCGGCCGCCGGCAAGGACGCGGACCTGGAAGCCTACGACCTCTCCGCGCTCCGCGTCGCCACGTTCTGCGCCGAGCCGACGGCGCCGAAGGTCTAGCGCTACGCGATGCGCCACCTGGTCCCGAACTACGTGAATTCCTACTGGGCCACGGAGCACGGCGGCATGGTCCTGAGCCACCCCTACGGCGCGCCGCTCTTACCGGACGCGACGGCGACGCCCGCGCCCTGGGTCGACTGCGGCGTCTTCCTCTTCGACGACGACGGCGGCTTTATAGGGCCCGCGGACGACGGCGCCGTCGGCGACCTCGTCGTCGAGGCGCCCTACCCCTACCTGGCGCGGACCCTCTGGGGCGACGCGGCCCGCGCGGGCGCACGCGGCTGGGTCGGCGACCTGGAGCGCTTCCGGGAGACCTACTTCTTCGACGCGGGCGGCGACTTTCGCTTCCGCGTCGGCGACCGCGCCGCCAGGGTCGGAAACGGACGCTACGTGCTCCTCGGCCGCAGCGACGACGTCATCAACCGCAACGGCCACCGCCTGTCCACGGGCGAGATCGAGGCGGCGGTGCTCGGCGCCGACGGGTGCCCCTTCGCGTACTGCGTCGCCGTCGGAGCGCCGAGCGAGTTGTCCGGCCAGGACCCCCTCGTCGTCGGCGTCCTCCGCGCGGGTGAGCCGCCGCCGGACCGCGCGCGGAAGGCTGCCCTCACGCGCGCCGTCGAGGGCGCGCTCGGGGGCCACTACGGCCCCGCGGACTACCTCGCGGTCGAGGCCCTGCCGGAGACGCACAGCGGCAAGTACCTCCGGCGCGTCGTCCGGGCCCTCGCGCGCGGCGACCCGGCCCGGGAGAACCTGCAGACGCTGCGGAACCCCGAGGCCGTCGCGGACCTGGAGCGGGTCCTCGCGGCGTGGCGGTCCCGCGGCGCCGCCGCGCCGGCGCCGTCCGACCCGAGCGCGGTCCTCGCGGCCGCGGTCCTCGACCTCCTGGGCACGGCCATCGACGACGGCGCGCCGCTCATGGCGTCGGGCGTCACGTCGACGATGATGAGTTGGCTCCTGTCGCGCGTCTCGGGGGACCTGCGCACGTCCCTGTCGCCGTCGGTGCTCTTCGACCGCCCGAGCGTCGGAGCCCTCGCGGGCCTCTTCGCGGACAGCGCCGCGCGGCCGCGGCGTCGCCACGGGTCTCCTGCTCCCCGTGGCGCATGCGTCGCGTTGGCCGCGTGCTCGTTCCTGCTCCCTGGGGGCGTCCGCTCCGTCCGGGCCCTCGGCGCGCTCCTGGCGAGCCGCGCGTCGACGCCGGGCCGCGCGCCCGCGGCGCGGTGGGCGCCGCCCTCCTACGGGTCCTTCGCCGGAGCTTTGTGCTTCTCCGGCGTCGACGCGAGCCCGCTCGAGGCCTCGGCGATGGACCCGCAGCAGCGCTGGATTCTCGAGCACGCGGCGGCGTCGCTCGCGCGCCTCGGGGACGCGGGCGTCGTCGTCGCCATCCAGGGGTCGTCGAGCGGCGTCTTCGCCGACAACACATCCGGCACATCGTCGACACCCGCCTTCCGGGCGACGAGCCACGCCCTGTCCGTCGCCTCGGGCCGCGCGTCCTACGCGCTCGGGCTGACGAAGTTCTGCGCGACCGTCGACACGGCCTGCTCGTCGACGCTGACGGCCCTCGCCGTCGCCGTGCGCTGCGGCGACGCGCCCGTCGCCGTCGTCGGCGTCCAGGTCCTGGAGCGGCGCTTTTCCGACATCTTCGCCGCCGCGGGCATGCTGTCGCCGCGCGGGCGCTGCCACGCGTGGGACGCGCGCGCGGACGGCTACTGCCGCGGCGAGGGCGCCGGCGCCCAGGTCGTCGTCGAGGACGCGGCGCGCGTCGTCGTCGGCGGCGTGGCCGTGCGCCAGGACGGCCGCAGCCTGAGCCTCACGGCGCCGAACGGCGCTGCGCAGGCCGCGCTCCTCGCCGACGCCGGCGGCGCGGGCCCGGACCGCCTCGAGGCGCACGGCACGGGCACGGCCCTGGGCGACCCCGTCGAACTCGGCGCCGCCGTCGACGCCCTGGAGGACCTTGAGGTCGGGGCCGTCAAGGCGACCGTCGCGCACCTCGAGGCCGCCGCGGCCGCCGCGGGCGTGCTCGCGCTCCGAAGCCCATCGGCGAACGCGGAGGCGCGGCGGCTCAGCGCGCACGTCGCGCCGCTGCTCAACGGGCCCGTGCGGCTCCCCGTCGACGTCGCTTTTTGAGAGGCGCGGGAGGACCGCGCGAGCTCCTTCGGCTACAGCGGCACGATCGCGCACGGCCGCTTTTTTTCGCGGGGCGCGCCGGCGACGACGGCCGCGCCGGGCGCGTCCTCGTTCTTCCGCGGGACGACGGCCTACGTCGTGGAAGTCCACGCGCTCGCCTCGGACGTGTTTCCGGCCGCGACCTTCTCCGAGCACGTCGTCGGCGGCGCGGCGCTCTTCCCGGGCGTCGCGTACGTCGAGCTCGCCGCGGCGCGCGGCGCGGCGCTGCTGTCGCGCGTGAGCTTCCTGCGGCCCTGCGTCTTCGCGGGTGACGTGTCGATGCGCTTCGCCGGCGACGGCAGCTTCGAGGTCTCGAGCCGCGGCGCGGTGCGCGCCCGGGGCCGGGTCGACGAATCCGCGCCACCATTTCCGACGAGCAGAACCGCTTCACCGGTGAGGCTCGCCGTCGGTGCCCCGGTCTCGTCTCGCACGCGGCCTTCCTTTTGAAATGCGCCCTCTATTGTGGCGTGCGACCGCCCGGATTCGCGCCGCGGGCCCGTCGCGCGGAAACGTCCTCGGAGCGACGCGGCCCGCAGATTCCGCGAGCGATGGTCCCGTGCGTTGCTCCACTTTTTTCAACAACGCCGGGCCTTTCGCGGCTCCGACGCGGGACGCCCCTCTTTTCTCGGCGACCTCAGCCTCTGCCGCGTAGCACCGGGAGCTCCGAGACCGCCGCCTCTGCCGCCGCCGAGGTCGACGCGCGCGCCGCGTCGCGCCGCGCCGCCGCGAGGCGCGGCGGACGTCGTCCATTCAACCGCCGCGGCGCTCCTGGGCACGCGGGTCCCGGCGGAGGCGTCGCTCGTGGCCGCCGGGCTCGACTCGATCGGCGCGACGGAGCTCGCTCGGTCGCTCGGCGACGCCCTCGGCGAGGAGCTGCCGTCGACGCTCGTCTTCGACCTTCCGTCGGTGGCGGCGATCGCGGCGTCCTTCGCCCCGGCGCCGGTCGCGAGCGCCGAATCTTCGCTTCAACAAGTGAGTTTTTCGGTCGACGCCGCGCCTTCGTCGCGGAGCGTTGCGGTCGCGCGGACTTTTTCCGCGCTGCTCCCCGGGCCGCTCGAAGACTGCCTTTTCTTCGGTCTTTCGACGGCTTCGACGAGCGTTGCGTCCGCGGGGTATGGTTCCTTCCTCGGCGACCGCGCGTCGAATCTGGCGGCGTTCGGTATATCGACTCGGGAGGCGGCGGAGCTGGACGCGTCCGCGGGCCTCGTCCTCGAGGCGACGTCCGCGGCGCTGGGCGACCTCGCTCGCACGCACGTCGGCATCTTTCTCGGCGCCGGCGGCTTCATCATGAGCGCCGCAATCAACACGATGGGCTCGAGAGGATCGAGGCCGCCGTCGGTCTACGCCGGGACCGCCGTCGCGCTCTCCGTCGCCTCGGGCCGCGCGTCCTACGCGCTCGGCCTGACGGGGCCGTGCCTGACGCTCGACACGGCGTGCTCGTCGTCTCTGGTTGCTTTGCATGCGGCCTCGTCCGCGCTCCGGAACGACGAGTGCGCGAGGGCCGCCGCGACGGGCGTCTGCGTCGTCATCGAGGAAACGACGCGCGCGTTCTCCGCCGCGGGCATGCTCTCCGCGCGGGGCCGGTGCCACACCTTTGACTGGCGCGCCGACGGCTACTGCCGCGGCGAGGGCGTCGGCGCCTTTGTCCTCGAGGATGACGCTGGCTCCGTCGCGAGCCGCGGGACCTCGGTGCAGCAGGACGGGGCCTCGGCGTCCCTCACGGCCCCGAACGGATCCTCGCAGCGGCGTCTCATCGCATCCATCGACGCTCCGCGGACTTGTCTCGAGGCCCACGGCACGGGCACGGCCCTCGGGGATCCCATCGAGGTCGCCGCGGCCGCCGCCGCGCTCCGCGGCCACGACGCGCGCTGCGCGTCGCTCAAGGCGAACATGGGCCATCTCGAGTCGAGCGCGGCGGCCGCCGGACTCGCCTGCCTCATCGTTGCGCGGCTCGATCTCGGCGTGACGCCGCCGAATACGTAGCTCCGGCGGCTCAACGAGCACCTCGCCGCGCACGCAAAGGCCTTTCGAATGCCTGTGGACGTCGACGCCTTTCCCGGCGAGCCGTCGTGCCGGCTGAGCTCCTTCGGATTCAGCGGGACCATCGCCCACGGCGCCTACGTCCGCGCGGCGGGGCCGCGGCTGCTGTCTGCTCCGTCGTCCTCCGCGTTTCGCGGCGCCGTCGTCCGAAGGAGCGCGACGATCGGACGGCTCGCGCCTCCCGCGACCGCGCGCTTCCCGCCAGTCTGCGAGTGTCGAGCGCTGGTCGTCGGGAGCATCACCCGGACACCTATTGCAAAGCCACTCTTTATCCCGCTCGCCCTGTGGGCGCTCTCCGCGCGCCCGCCCCCGCGCGGCGGCGCGATCCGCGCCCGCGCCGCCGCGCGCCGTGTCCGCCGGCGGCCGCGGATGCTCTTCTTCCACGGCATGGACACCTACGGCGAGTTCCAGGCGACGACCCTCGCGCACCAGGGCTGGGCGGCCCTCGAGTGGGTCACGGTCTCCGCGCCGCATCGCGGCTCGGATTTCTCACGCGGCGCCGGCGGCCCCGCGCTCCGGGAGCGCTTCGGCTACGCGGCGGCCAGGTCGCGATCCTGGCGCCTCCTGGCGCGCTACTCGCTCGCGAGCGCCAGCCAGGCTGACATGTTCGCCCGGGTCCGCGCGGCCGCGGACGACGGCGGATCCGCGGCGGGCGACGCGGCCGGCCGCGACGCGTCGCTCGCGGCCGCGGCGCGCTGCGGCGCGGACCAGGCGCCACTCGACGGCGTCGCGGGCATCAGCGAGGGCGCGGCCCTGGGGTTCCTCGTCGTCGCGCTCGGAAACGTCCCGGGGGCAAAGCGCTTGCTCGGCGTCGCGCCGCTCGCCGCCGCCGGCGACGCCGCGCGCTACGACGAGCCCCTCCCCGCGGGCGCGGCGGCGCTCATGCTCGTCGGCGTCGCGGACGCGCCGGACGTGCACCACATGGCCGGCCGCGCCGCGGCGGCGTTCCCGCGGGGCGGCGTCGCGACGTTCGAAGGCGGCCACAAGCTGCCGCGCGCGACGCCGCGGCTCGCCGCCGCCGCGGACGCGCTCTTTTCCGGCGAGGCGCCGGCGGCGGGTCCCCGGCGGGGCGCGCCGACAAGAGATCATTTCTATTGTTCATCCAACCATGCCGAAGCATCCTTGACGGCGATGCGATCTTTTTCAGGGCCGCGCTGCCCCGACGTCGCCGCGGTCGTCGCGGGGCCGCGGCTCCCGCGGCCGCGCTCGCCTCCGACGCGCTCCGCCGCGTGGATCGACGCGCGGCTCCTCACCGTCGACGGCGCGTGCGCTCCCTACGTCGCGGCGACCGCCGTACTTTCGCGCCGGGCGGCCCCCGACGTGGCCGCGCCGGTCGTCGAGATCGTCAGTCGTCGCGGACCGTCGTTCGGCGACTGGCGCGTCTCGACGGCGCCGCACCGCGGGGACGCGCTCGCCGCGGACGGCGCCGACGCCCTCGCGCTCGCGCGGCGCTTCGCCGCCGTCGTGGCGCGGCTCTCGGCGACGGCCGTCGCGGCGACCCTCGCGTCCGCGCGGCGGGCGCCGGGGCCGACCGTCCCGTCGGGGGGGTCGCCGCGGAGGCGTCGCGAGGGCCGCGTCGTCGCCGCGTCCGTCTCCGGCTTCTTCGTCGAGGGCATGGTCGCAGCGCGTCCGGCGGCGGTCCGCGCCGCCGCCGCGAGGACGGACGTCGTCGTCGCGCCGCGTCCGGCGCGAGCGCCTTCGACCGGCGCGTCCGCGGACCTCGTCGTCGCCGTCGCGCCGGCGCGGCGCGCGGCCGGCGTCGACGTCTGGGTCGCGACGCGCGCGCGCGCTCGGGACGTCGCCGCGCTCGCCCGCCGCTGGTGCTATAGCGCCGCGGTGGCGGCCGTCGCCGCGCGGCGGCGGCCCGCGGCGGCGCCGGCGGCCCGCGCCGCCGCGGCCGCGGTCGCGCGGGCCGTCGTCGCCGCGGACCGCGCGCTGCACCTGCGCGTCGTCGAGACGCCGGCGACGGCCCTCGGCGACGTCGCCCGCGCCGTCGCGGCGCTCGGCGACGTCGCGCGGCTCCGGGTGCACGTCGTCGGCGCCGCGCGCTCCCGCCCCGCCGGCGCGGTCGCCGTCGCGGCCGACGCGGTCGTCTTCGCCGGCCGGCCGGCGGCGTCCCACCCGCTCCTCGGGTGCGGCGGCGTCGTCGTCGCGCTCCTGGGCGCCCGATTCGAGGCGGGCCGCGTCCTCGACGCGCTCGAGGCAAGCGCCGCGGGCCTCGCGTCCGACGTCGCGGCGGCGCCGCCCGCGCTCCTCGAAGGGTCGTTCGGGGACGACGCGACGGCCTGCGCCGCCGCGCTCCCGCGCGCCGTCGCGTCGGCCGTCCTCGCGCCCCCGAGGACCGGCGACGGCGGCGTCGTCGCGGCGGCCTGGGACCGCGCGGGCGTCCTCGTCGTCGAGCTTCGCGACGCGCGGACCATGAACGCGATGACGCCGGCGCTGCTGCGCCGCCTCGACGGCGCGCTCCGGGCCGCGGCGTCCCGCGCCGCCGTCGGCGTCGTCCTGCGCGCCGCGGGCCCCCACTTCTGCACGGGCGGCCGCTACGGCGCGCGGCCGAAACGGCCCGCCTGGTGGGCCGAGACGCGGCCGGGCGCCGCCGCGGGCCGCGTCCTCGACGCCCTGCGGTCCCTGCCCCTGCGCAGCGCGGCGGTCTGCCGGGGCGCGGCCGTCGGCGGCGGGGTCATGCTCGCCCTGGCGGCGGATCTTCGCTGGGCGACGCCCGCGACCGCGTTTCGGTTGGCCGTCGCGGCCGCGGGCCGGTCGCCGCTGCTCGGCGCGACGGCGCGCCTCCCGTTCCGCCTCTACGTCGACGACCCGCGCCTGGGCGCGGACGCGGCGCGGACCCTGGGCTTCGTCCACGCCGTCGCGGGGGACGAGGCCGCGGCGTCGCGGCGCGCGCGCGACTTCGCGGCGCGAGCGGCGAAGGTGGCGCGTTTGGAAGCGGACCACGTGTCGAAACAAGAGCTCTGGCTCTGCGCCGAGACGTCGCTGCGCCGGGAGACGCCGCGCAGCGCCGCGGCGCGTGCCCGCCGGCCGGCCGACGACGACGACCGGGTGGAACCGCGGCTCGAGGCCGCTCCCGCGGCGCCCGAGGCGCCGCGGACGGCCGCGCCGGCGCTCGAGATCGAGGCGCGCGTCGCGGCCATCGTCCGCGAGTTCCTCGACGGCGACGTCGCCGCGGACGCGCCGCTCCTCGACGCGGGCATCGACTCGCTGTCCGCGTCGGAGCTCGCGACGAAGCTGGCGGCCGCGTTCGGCCGCGGCGACGTCGGCGCGACGCTCCTCTTCGACCACCCGAGCGTCGCCGCCGTCGCCGCGCTCCTCGCCGAGGCCGCCGCGGCGCCGACCGTCGCGCCGACCGTCGCGCCCCCCGCGGAGCCGACCGACCGGGACGGTCGCCCCCTCGTCGCCGCGGAGCTCCGCGGATCCGTCGCGGTGCTCGCCCTCGACCGCCCGGACGTCTTCAACGGCGCCTACGGCATGGAGCCGGCGCTCGCCGCGGCTCTGGACCGCGTCGGAGAACGCGGCTCCTGCTCGGGCTGCGTCGTCACGGGCCGGGGCCACGCCTACCACGTCGCCGAGCACCGCAACCAGATCGACTTCGAGCCGGCGTCGCGGCGGTTCGCGTTCACGCGCGACTACCTCGTGGCCTACTTCGCGGCCTTCGTCGCGTTCCCGAAGCCCCTCGTCGCCGCGCTCAACGGGAGCGCCTACGGCGGCGCCGCGACGAGCACGAGCCACGGCGACGCCGTCGTAGCGGTCGACGCCGCGGAGCTGAGCTTCCCCTTCCGCCGCTGGCGCGTCGTGCCCGAGGGCTGCGCGACGGCCCACCTCGCGCGCCTCGCGGGGCAGGGGTGTGCCGCGCGCCTCCTCGGGGGCTGGGTCCCCGCGGGCGACGACGCCCGCGGCGCCGGGCTCGTCGACGACGTCGTCGCGGCGGCGGAGCTCGTCGCCGCGGCCGCGGCGCGCGCGGCCGGGCCGCGGACGCCCCGGGGCCGCGGCGCCGAGGCCGAGGCGACGGCGGAGTACCTCTTCGTGAACTTGTGCGAGGAGGACGCCCTCGGGCTGTCCTTCGTCGCGGCGCCGTTCCTACGGTCGCAGGTGGCCTTCTTCGGGAGGCGGCTCGGCGCGGCGCTCGGCGCCTGGCGCGCGCTCGCGGAGACCGCGCCGCTCTTTCGCTACGACGCCGCGGCGGCGCCCGCCTACGTCGCGGAGGCGCGCCGCTGGCGCCTGGCGCCCGCGGCCGGCGGGCGCGACGCGGCCGCGGCCGCGGTCGCCGCGGTCGTCGGCGGCGGCGCCGCCGCCGCGCCGCGACCCGCCGCGCTCGAGGCATCGCCGTCCGCGCCCGCCGTGGCCGTCGACGGCGCGACCTGGGTGTTCCCGCGACGGCTCTCGACCGCGGCGGCGCTCCGGTCGGCGCTCGCCTCGGGATTCGCGTTCGCGTCGGAGGCGCCGGTCTCGAGATACGCCGCCGGTCGAGGCGCGGCGCGCTACGGCGCCTTCCTCGGCGGCGCCGTCGCCCTCGAGGCCCGCGCCTGGGCCATGACGCCCGTCGAGGTCCGGGCCGCGGACCCGCAGCAGCTCCTGCTCCTCGGCGTCGTCGCGCCGCGGCGCGGCGCCCCGGGCGACGGCGTCGCGGTCTTCGTCGGCGCGTCCGGCGGGACCTTCTTCGCCCGGAGCGGCGCGGACGCGACGCCGGGCGGCGTCTACGCCGCCACGAGCGACGCGCTGGCCATCCTCGCGGGCCGCGCGTCCTTCGTCTTCGGGTTCACGGGCGA